TTATAATTGCATTTGTCTACTATAGTTTATCTTTTAAATATGGACCATTTAAATGATACAATATTGTTTTGGTCATAAGAACAAACTAATCTTACATAAGGGCAGATAAGGCTCTTTAGCAGTGGTGAAGGCAACTTACCTAGAAGAAGAAAAACTCTGAATAAAGCCCTCAATTTAAGGGTGTTGTAAGGGTATGAGGAGCTCATCAAACTTGTAAAATTAAGATAGTTGTATATGTAATATTGAAACTTCATTCATATCGAAGTTCAGAAGGTGTAAAATTTTGTGAAAGATGAAATTTAGTGCACCTACTCATATTAATGAAAAACTGTTTTTAATTTTTTATTCAAAAAATTATTTATTAAAGGTTAGCCTTGCTAGTATGTATGCAGTATGCCTTGATTGTTAAAATGATTCCTTGACTTAACAGCTGAATCAAGGATGTACAATTTGTCAAACAAAATTTTTTTTTTTATTTAGGAACGATTCAACTCTTTACTATACTGCCTGTGTTATTAATCAGAAACATTAAAGCCTAAATTTTTTGTTCAAAATAATTTTCTATTAATTGAGTAAGACAGTTCTTAAAACAATCTTTAAACAAGTTTAATTAGGTGATGATGAGATTTTTTCAGGTTTCTCATTGCTCTAGGATTATAGGTGCAATTTATTATTGGGTTTACTACAAAATCTCCCAATAGGTCACTACACATGTGAAGGGTGACATGATCTTTACAAACTTTATAACCTGGTGCAAGCTTTTGATATTTTGCAATAACGGTTTGAGACAGCAGTTTTTTCCACTACAAAGCGGTTTCATCAAGATTAAAAATTTGCTCTACAAAATACATGCTTATTTCAATGTAAAGCTGTATTTTCATTCATTTGACATATATTTTTTATCTTCCTCGATGTGCTGCATTTTTTGCAATGCACATACAAAGTTTTTGCTTTGCAACCTTCATAATTTTTTGCTATTTTGAAACTTTTTAAAGTACAAATGTATATTAGGGTGTCCCAAAAAAAACAACTTTTTTACAGAACCAAAAGGTTTGAAACACATCCTGATTGTATACTATAAATAAAAGAAAAATGCAATATTTTAGGTCTTTAAATCTTCAGGAAGTAGTATTTCCTGATTTCCTGCATAGATTTCCATTATTCTTCAAAATGTCTAATATTTAAATAATAAAACAAACCAAAGAAAAAACAGTTTATTTTGGTTCAAAGTTTTTTTTGTTTGAATAAAGCTAAAAAAAAGTTTTCATTTAATCTAAAATACTTTTTGCTAAGTAATTATATTGTTCTAATCACTCTTTTTAATTCTTTTATACACACTTTTTTTATTAGCATTTCTTTAGCAATCACCATGATGTTGTGTCTCTGATTTTCAATATGACTGCCAGGAAATCTTGCACTAGAAAAATATTTCTTTCAGAGCAATCATTTGTGCTGAATATTTGAAACAAAATCTTTGAAAAACTTAAAGCTGAGATGAAGATCAACAAATTTTCCATCAGATATCCAAAACTTAATTTTGTGTATTAAGATCTAGTATGAAAAAAATATAAAAGCTGTTTGTCCTAACAAACTCATGCAAATGAGTGTTCTTGTTAATAATTATATCATCTCTAATCTCTGGTTTCTTTATTTCAAAATAACAAAGATCCTCGAGATAGGGATTATTAATGAGTTTCTGTATCATTAGAAATTTCTCTTAACAACATTTTTAGCCAAGTACCATGTCTAAGAAGAGAATTTTTCAGATTTTTTCCCAGCATTTTGTCACCTTCCTCTATGCTTTTGGCTGCTTTAATATCTTTGAGATCATTAGGTGGTGCCTGGATTATGATAGATGACTTCAGAAACCAAGGAATGTAAAATATTGCTATATAAGGTGCAACTTTGTTGACATCTTCTATCTCCTCCACTGACATAAATTATAGTTTCTTATGAAGTTAGTTGAAGCATCAATAAATATATTCCATTTGCCATAAATCTAGCTTCATGACAAGCAGGGAGTTGATAAAAGTAGAAATTTGGCACTTTGTTACCGGAATAAAAAAACTTAGTTTACATAATCTTATATAGTCTGTTCTTGGAAAAGGTTTTCAGGGTAATGAAATTTCCTAAATATTCTTTAGCTTCTTGTACAATCTGATGCATGTAAGAATTGTTATTAAAAATGTTGAAATTAAATCTGTCTAATCAATTTATATCTTCATTGCATTCCTGCAATGAAGATATAAATTGATTAGACAGATTTAATTTTATCGTTATTACAAACAGCAATAATGTTATTTTTAATTTTAAAATCTTCTAGTACCTTTTTTATTTGTTTCACTTGGTCTTTGACTTTAGGTGGATTTGCTTGGAACACTCCTAGCAGAATAAAGCTATTATTAACATCCTCAGGAGTTGTCACGCATTGCAATCATTTCCATTTTAACAGTAATGTTATTTTTAAGATCCTTTTATTATTTTATTATTGCATTTTAACAGTAATTTTATTTTTAAGTTTCTTACCAATTAAAACATTTTTATATTACTAATTTTTTTCCCTTTGTTTTTGATGGTATGAAATCTTTTTTTGTGGGTTCCTGATTTTAAAAAAACAATATCTTCCAAACTATGCCATGCATGCTTTAGAATTGAGGAAAGAACTGCTGTATGACCCATTACACCATTATGAAAATTTGTAGCAACTTTACTTGCCACTTTTATTAATCCGCCCCATAATATTGACAGGTGCAGCTCATCAAATCTTTTTTTTTCTTATTAACGGCACAGAGAAATTTTTACCTTCTTCAATTCTTGACTCAAAATTTATTGATTCTGTATCAGAATCAGAGACAATATGATTTTCAAACAATTTTTTATCCACTATGAACATTTCAAGTTTTTTGTTTAACTCATTCTTAAGTTTCTCTTTTGGTAAATCATGCCAATATCTTCAGTTATAAATGTTTTTCTTGTTGATTTTTGACCATTTAAAAATTCAATGTTCTCTTTAATGGTATCAGGTGATCTGTTGCGATCAGCTTTGATTTTCATTACAATAATTTTGAAGCCTATGTCAAAAAGTTCATTTGAAGTTTTTTTATAGTTGGTTTTCAGAATCAATTTAATATGAAAAAAAAAGACACAATTTACACATTTACAACTTTAAAAGAGGCTGACAGTTAGAATGAAAAAAAACAATTTTTTGTAAATATAATAAGAAAATCTATTTGCTTTTTTTGTTAAGCTTTATAATCTTATCTCTAATAGTCTAACTTTTCATCAAGAAGTCTTTTTGAAAACCCATTCTACAACAGATATTTATTACTTCTTTGACAAGACAATCTTTAATACCTGTCTCACCATTTTACACCATTTTTTTTTTTTGATTTGACATTTTAACTGAAACCCTCCTTTCTCAATGGAGCAACTAATATTTGATTTTGACTTATATCTTAATTTCTTTGAGGAAATAATATTTCAATATCTTCTTAAAATGTCTCTATTAGTAGGCAACTGGTATTTGGTAAAATGAGTCTGTTCAAAAGATGCAATGGTTTCTTTGGGTTTTCTACCACATTTTTAATTTTTTTTTTTCAATATCTTTAAATTTTCTTTTTCTACAGCTTGTTCTTCTCGATTGATTATTGTTTATATATCTATCTAAATTGTTTATTTATATATCTAAAAAGCATAAACTTTATTGTTATATTGATTTAAATAATGTATTATATATAATCTCTGTAATATATATATAATCTCTGTAATAGTATTAAAAAAACAATTCTCGTAACAATACTTAATTAATAGAGACAGTACTTAATTAATAGTATTAAAAAAACAATACTTGCTTATTTATAATTACAAAATATATAAACAAGAAAGTGGTGGAAATGTGTCATTTATGTGAAAAACCATATAAAAAATCCAAAAGTACCTGTTTTTCAGTTTTTACACCTAACACTTCAAAGGGTTCTTAAATCTTTAAATTTAAAATTGCTTATTTTTATGCATATAACCAGGATATTTAGAAACCAAGACTTTTTTTTTGGGACACCCTAATGTATATATATATATATACATATGTGTGTATATTGATTATTGAAAAACCATCTAATGATTTTTCAATAAAAGACTATTGCTAATTGCTAAATTTAAAATTTTTAATCAATATTATATTTTTGTAAATATAATATGTATAAAATAAAAATTTTATCGCAAGCAATTCATAATCTACGTTTTTCAAAAAAAGTTTACAGCATATTATGCAATAGTTTGGTACAAATTGAAAAAAAAAAAGGAAAAATAAATTTTAATACATTTTTTCTAGTTTTAATAGGATTTTGCTCTGATTATGTTAGAGGCTCTCTATTAACATATTAAAAAAAAACTCGGTTAACTTTGAACCTATATGCAGCCTCTTCTCTTTTCTTAAAGCTAAGTCTAAAATATTGGCCAACAAATATATTTATGTGATTTTAGGTTGTGATATTGCATAGGAGCAGATGTCACATAAATAATTGTTTTTTTTTAATCAACATTTACTTTACTTCACTTAATTTTGATGGTAATATATTAAAAAAAATTTTGATGGTAAATAAATTCAAATTTATTTATCAAAACAACAGTAAAATTTGTGTGAAACTTTTTACCAATCAAACTATTAAACTTTCAAAATGTGTTTATTTTATGGAAAACAATAACATCAAAGCTATGGTTTCTTGAATCCTGGGAAAATGAGTTCCTGGAGGTGAGTATTACAACAATATATCATATGTGGCCAATATTGTACAAAAATGAGAGGCAATTTTTGGTAATTCTGCTAATCAAAGCAGAATTACCAAAAAGCTGAAAATTTAAAAAACAAAACTTCGCCCACACTAACTATTCTGAACAAGAACCAAAATATCAAAAAATCAGCAAAAATGAAAAAAGTTACTTCCTAAAATTTGATATTTTTCTTGATTTTTTCTAATAAAAGTTGTTCCATATATTTAAAACTGTCATGTTGAGAGTGTTTTAAAAATAATAGTTTAAAAAAAAAATAATCTCATAATCAACAGAAATTACACCTAGTAAATAGTTAGAAAGCATTATCTCATTGTCAATAGAAGTTACCCTGGGTAACTAATTGAAATTTTTTATTTAGCTATAAAGTTAAATTGCAATAAAAAAAATTTCTGTTATCTAATAAAAGTTGTTATTTTATGTCTTAAACCATTTTTAGATTTGAAATTCTGAAATTATAAATAAAAACAAATGCCTGACCTCGTTAACAGTTGGCTTGTTTATAATGTTCTTTGCTCTATTTGCATATCGCAATGTACTCAAAGTTTCAGAGTAATTTATATCTGCAGGTGATATTGCTGTAAATTAAAACAGGTTTACAAAAATAATTTTTTAACAAAAAAAAAAAAAAAAAAATACATAACAATCAGATCACCAAAAAACTTAATTTCTATGTATTAGTATATTTTATTAAATATACTATATTTATCATCATACTATCAATTTTAAAGATATTAATAAAATATATTCATACTTTGTAAAGTTCACAGTAAATCTAATCTAAAAGGATTTTAAAAATCTGCTTAGCAAGAAAAAAAGTGTACAGTTTCAAATGCATAGAATTATATTAGGTGTCACATTACTTGCATTTCTTATGGTTTTTACTTTAATATTTTGTACATGAGCCCAAATATTACTTGAACAGCAAACGCTGTTATCACAATAACAAACAGCGCATCAATTATAATATAATATTTTGTACATGAGCCCAAATATTATTTGAACAGCATAAGGAAACGTTGTTATCACAATAACAAACAGCGCATCAATTATAACAGTAACAAAAAAATCAAAGTGAATATTTACTATACAACTATTACTCATTTCATTGAAATAAAGTTTCATAGATAAATATAAAAAATTTTATAAATTTTACTCAAACAAATAAACCAGCTTATGCCTTTCATGTTTAACAATTTATAAAAAAAAGCTAAAGTAATACCTTGGTGAGCAGATTTACAGGAATATATACACATCAAAGTCATTTTGATACAGTAAATAAAGCATTTCTACTTACACTTATAAAGTCTATATATGCTTCTTGAACATTTTTTTTTAATTTTAAATAAGGTCAACTGTGACTAACAGATACAAAAAAAAACTCATTTTTTACTCAAAAAAAAAAAATTAAGCAAAATTAAATTACCAGCTATCATGATGGTTTTCGAGTTGCCTCCTAAACTATCTTTTAGTAACCATGTTAAAACTGAATCTCGATAGGGAATAAACAGATTACTCTTTTTAGGATTAGTTGATGCTTCCGCTAAAAAAACCAATAAAAATGTTTTAAAGACATTAAACGTTTTAAAGACATTAAGCGTTTTTAAAAGCATCTTAAATCAATTTATTTAACTTTTTTTTTTTTTTTTTTACTATAAAGTTACCTAAAGAAGAAATGACAGATCCTAAGGTAACCAAGGACTTGTTTATATTGCCACCTTCCTTTAGTCTTAAACCTGTCGCACCAGTAGAGTTTGCTCGTTCACTGAAAAAAATACATATAATCAACATTTTACCAGCAACCTTAATGCTGCATTTTTTGAAACAGAACTTTCTATATCCATTAAATAAAAGTTAATGGTCATTTTTACTGATAATAAAAATGTCTTGTTTTAAACATAAATTGTGAAGGGCATAAGCGTAATAGGATATGAAACATTATAAAATACTTTTAATTGCTTTTCGTACTTTACAGACAATATTTAAAATTTTTGCAAATTAGATTAATTAAAAAATTAACTTAAAATAATGTAGAAAAGTTACTGTGTACAAAAGTTATAGAATCCATGGTTATGTATTAGTTTAGAATTAGATTATATTAGTCATAAAAATATTTTTGAAGTTAAAATAATGATTAAACAGCCTTGAATAAACATTTGATAAAAAATCTTTGTAACAACAAATTATTGGTAATTAAAATCCAAACTAAAACTAAAATAGACAAAAAATTTTTTGTCATATTTGTATCATTTGTTTATGATAGATTTTTATAGACAATGAAGAGGGAAAGATTTCAAACGATCTTGCGTATCTTCAAGAAACATCATCTGTAATACAGGATTTAATAAACAAACATGCTCTAGCCTTTCGTTCCACATTTGTACTAAATCAGGGAGGACCTTTTCTATATAATTTGCTTTGGATGGGGATCTTTTTAAAAATCTTTTTTAAAAGTTTTGTTTTCTTGACATATGACAAAAAATTAAATCATTTATAAAAACTAAGGGTCTTGAGCCAGCTTGGAACAAACTTGTATTGGAACCGACTGTATTGGAACAACCCTGTATGAAAGTATTTATGAAAAATCAAAAACATCAAATTTAAAAAAAAAAAAAAAAAAGAAATACTTAACCGATAGTTTAGTTAAGTAGAGGAAGTTTGTGTACCTTGGGCCTTTTTGATCAAATTGACCATGCTCTCTCATTTTAACCCCTCTGCCAATATTATTGTTTATGGTGACTTTAATGCTCATCACACTAAATGGCTTGGCTCTAAAGCCACTGACCCTGCTGGCACTAAAACCTATAACTTCTGCATTTCTCAATCTCTTACTTAGATTAGCTAACTTTGTGACTTGTTTTCCTGACAACCCTAATCTTTTATCTTCACTCCTTGATTCTTGTCTCTGATCCTAGCCTGTGTTCAGTTACTCCTTTTTCTCCCAGGTGGTTCTGACCATGTAATGATCTGACGGTCCTTGGGTTTATGTCATTTCGCGCTCAGCTGAAGAATGCTGATAAAATTGTTTCTTTTTAATCGCTTTATTAAAGTCATCCTTGAAGGCTAACACTCTTTTTCGTTTCCAGTAACTTCTGGGATACCTTGAGGTTCAATTATTAGGCCTGTTTTGTTTCTTATTTACATTAATGATCTTCCTGAAAACCTAAAGAAGCTCTTTTTGCTCAACTTTCTTGTTGTGACAAAAAATTTTCTTTTTTTGAACAGGCAGCTGATCTTAAATCTGGTCTCACTTCTGTAACAGATTAGGGCTCGCAGTGGCTTGTCAATTTTATTTCCAACAAAACTCAGTTATTTATTGCAAACAAATATTGGAATACTGTTGACATTCCTATATTAATGAATGACAACTTTCTCGCTGAGTCCTCTTCATTAAGTCTTCTTGGATTATTGCTAAATCATACAATTGATTGCACTGCTAAGGTTCTTTCTATTAATCGGATTATTGCTAAATCGCCCCTGTATGGAATACTGGGCTATATTTAGTTGCATATTTGGGTTGGTACTTCTAATAATGGTCTTTCTCTTCTAAACAAGGTCCAAAAACACATTGTAAATGTAGTTACAATCGATTAATAATACACAATCGATTGCTAAATTGGCATCTGCTAAGGTTTTTTTTATTTGTGCTCATCATTTTTTTACTCCTGATTCCATTCTCTATTTTTTTATTTCTCTATTTCTACAAATTTCTTATTTGTTCTTGTATGGAATACTGTTGTCATATTTTTTGGAATACTGTTGTCATATATATTGGGGTGGTTCTTCTAATGATACTCTTTTTCGTCTAGACAAGGTCCAAAAACTAATCATGGATGCTGTTCAAGAATACTATCAGGTACACTATTTAAAGAAGCTATCATTTCTAGTTCCATCAAATTCATTCTTGTTTGACTAAAACTCATTCTCATTTGACTTGTCATTCAGCAAAGTCTCATTCATTTATTGTGTCTGTCTCTGCATGCTCTAAAAACTTTAATCATCTAGTTTTTTTCTTTGCTTTAATTCTTTGGAACTGTCTTCCATCTTTATGTTTTCCTGACTCATACAACCTTCAACATTTAAATTTTTTTGTCAAGCCTTTTCTTTTCTTTATAACTTTTTTTTTTTCTTTCTAGTAACTCCCAACTAAATGGATGTTGTTTGAAGCCTTGTTGGGAGTGAATTAAAATTAAAAAAAAAATAAAGAAAATAACAAACTTTTTTTATCTTTTGATGAATATAAGCCCCTAAAACTGTGCTTGCAAGAATTTACATGCAAAAACTGTCTCTTTTCTGCAGTTTAGGTTTAATTTATATAACAGATTATTATTTATATAGCAGATTATAATGTTGGTTGATGTTGACTGACGGATTGAGTATGATGAAAACAGTTTTGCTTTGTTCATGGTGTGTAAATAGCTGTTATTGAAATACAATATCAAAAATCAGCAATTCAATAGAGACAAACAATTGGAAAAAAAACTCAACTTTTAGAGAGTAATTCATGCAAGATCTTTTCTAGTATTAAAGATTTGGTTGATCTCAATGTTAATTATAATAGACATTAAGAAAACATGTTACTGTGGTAAAAAAAACTGTACCTATTATCAGTAAATGTACTAGTCCCAGTAAAATCCATAGTCAAGGCCCTTTTTCGCCAGTATGCTAACTTGTTTACAAATAACATTAACAAAAAAACTTAAAGATGCTAAAAACATCAAAATTCGAAAAATTGCATAACAGGTTATACACATAGGAATTGACCAACAATTCAATTAAATGCCTCAAACCAATAATTGACCTACTCACAAGACTTATATTAATTAAAAACTATTAAATAAAGTATTATTTTCAAGGTTTAGGTAACTATTTATTTTTGAATTGCGACTGTTTTAATTACAACAACTCACAACTTATGAGTCTGAAATTATTGTTTCAAATAAGAATCTGAATCTGTTTTCCACTTGAAAATCACAAACTTAATAAAGTTATAAAAAAAAGTGAATTTGTCCAGGATGTCCAGGATGTCCAGGAATTAATGTGAGATGCTACCAGTATAAAATCAAAAAGAAATTATGTTTTTTGAGAAACACAACTTTTTTGCAAAAAGATTACAATTTTATACTATTCAATCTAACAGTGTAGAATCTGAGCTTATTCTGAGGCTGCGCTTTTTTCATTAAAAAAATAAGAAGTTGTTCAGTACATACTGAACAACTTCTTATTTTTTTAATGAAACTTTTTTTTACTCTGTTTCATCATAACATATTTTTTAAACAATGAATTTCCTTATTTAATAGTTTTTTTTTAAATAAACATTTAATAAAGTTTAGATAGTAATACAAAATAGTAAACAATTTACACATGTATACACATGTATTGTTGAACAAAGTTTAACATACGCATTGTGCACATTTAATGCCATTTAATGCCGTCGTTGGGTTTAAACCATTTAATGTTGTCATTGGGTTTAAAAGAGCCAAATTTGGGCAAAAAAATGCAGTTTGTTTATTAGGTAAAACTTAGTGCTGCTTCATTAGTTAGAAGTAATGACACTATTGTTTAGCTAGATAAAAATGGATTCTTTTTAAAAGTTGTTTTATTAATTTGGTATTAAAACAATTAACTTTTTTTTTCCTTTTGTTGTTGGATATTTACAAATTCTAAAAAAAAAAAGGTTTACAAAAAAAAAAAAAATTATCTTTATCTGACTATTTGTGAATAATGACTATATTTTACATAATACTCGAAAAAATTTTATCAAAGGTGTGCGGTTTTAAAGAAAGATGTAAGGCTTTAACAAAAAGTGTATGGTTTTTAACAAAGATGTAGGATTCTTAACTAAGTATGTATAATTTTTAGGCAAAGGTTTATGGTTTTTAACAAAGTGTATGGTTTTTAAAAATAATGTATGGTTTTTCACAAAAGTGTATAGTTTTTAACAAAGGTGTATGATTTTTGACCAAAGGTATTTAATCTTAAAAAAGGTGTATAACTTTTAACTAAGGTGTATGATTTTTAACAAAGGTGTATGGTTTTTAAAAAAGGTGCATGGTTTTAAACAAAGATATATAATTTTGATCAAAGGCATATAATGTATAAAAAAAGTGTATGGCTTTTAACTTAAGTTATATTCATATATCAAATCAAATGCAAAATTAGCATCTGCTAAAGTTGCATCTGTTTATTGTGCTCGACACTTTCTTACTCCGGATTTTATCTCTATAAATCTCAAATCCGTCCTAGTATGGAATACTGTTGCCATATCTGGGGCAGATCTTCCAATGATGCCCTTTCTCTTTTAGACAAGGTGCAAAAAAGCATTGTAAACATAGTTGAACCTGCTCTGGCAACCAATCTTCAACCATTATCACATCATCGTAATGTTGCTTTTCTTTCTCTTTTCTACAAACACTGTAATGGACTGCACTAAAGAGCTAGTATCTTTTGTACCATCTACTAAAATTCATTGTGTTACTCGTCATTCAATTAAGTTTCTTTTTTTTCTGTGACTGTTCAAAGTGCTCAAAAAACTCTTAATCGTCTAATATTTTCTTCGAACATCGGTTCTTTGGAATTCGCTTTCTTCTTAATGCTTTCCTGATTCATATAATTTGTAATATTTTAAGTTGTTTGATATTCATTATCTTGATCTATAAACTTTATATTTTCTCTTCTATTAATTCTAATGGTGGTTGGTTGCAGTCTTGTTGGAAGCAAAAATAAAAAGAGTTCAAAAAAAAGTGTATGATTTTTAACAGAGGTGTATGGTTTTTAACAAAGGTGTATGTTATTTAACAAAAGGTGTATGGTTTTTAACAAAAGTATATGGTTTTTAATGCATCAACTACTTTTATTTACTTACATTTATCAAATTGCTTAAACAACATCTTCAAAATTATAAAAAAAAAAAAATTTCAGAGTCACTGAAAAAATCCTATATGTTTTTAGAGTAACCTAAATAAACCTAAAATTTAAAACATGAACTTATTTGTAGTAGAATGAATACAGTGTTAAATAGTAGCTTTGAAACAAAACATGAAAAATGTCTGTTTTATCTAAATCTTATAAAAACATATTTCATGTGTAGCTAAGTTAAAAACATAGGATAAATAACTTAATAAAGCTATAAACTTCATTAAAAACATAATGATATTTCATGCATAATTAGTGGTAAGGTTAAAGATTAAGCAAAAAGAAAAAAAATGCAAGGAAAAAAACTAACCTTCCGGCTAGATCAACAAGATTGATCTTACTAGTTGTTTCACTTGGCATATCATGCAAAAACTTTGCCTAAAAATACCGAAATATTTTTAAAAAATAATGTCAAAAAGCATTTCAGGTAAGTATTACATATTTTAGCGAAAATACTTTAACTTCAAAAACTTTAAACAAGCAATTAATGTTAAAAAAAAGAAATAAAAATAACAGTTTTTTGAAGTTTGGAAAAATCATAATTAAAAAAATTAAAAATTAAAAAGAAAAACCTGTGTGTAGCGAATAGTAAATATTGCATGTGAACGACTACTAGTATCATTCATGTTTGTTGAAGCTGTTGTTCTGCAAAATAACAATCAATTATAAAACTTTAATTAAAATATTAATTCAGTTATAAGTTATATTAACAAAAATAATTTAACAAGACAATAAAATAGCATATTATTTTATTTGCAACCTTCGCTCATTTCCTTGTTTCATAATAGTCTCAATTGCATGATAATCTGAAACCAGATGCTTTGTTAAACCTACAAAAACAATTAGATAAAAAAATTGAAAGAAAATGAACAAAATTTTAACAGCAGTTAAAAAACTTAAAAAACTTTGCATATTCTAAAATTCTGAAATAAAAAAATGATTTTAAGAACAACTTGTTTGAATAATTTATAAGTTTTAAATATTTATTTTTAATACTTATGAATAAAAACCAAAAGCTTATATGATACACAGATAACTCTACTTGATATATTAAACTAACTGTATACAATATGGAGTATATATGATGCATGTGATAAAGTGTATATGATATGTTGTAAGATTTATTGCTGTGTAAAATCTTTCAAGTAAGATGTTCTTTTTTAAAACTAAAAACTTAATGTCTATGATAAATTAACTTTAAAATAGTGTAAAATTTTTGTTTTACACCATTCATTTGTGTATTCATAGTATTGTACTTGTTACCTTTCAAAATGATAGTTTCTATTTGTACACTAAGTTTATCTATTTACTAATTTAATTTAACATAAAAATATAGTTTTAATATTTGTGTTGTTAGATTTCTTTACTCCTAATGAAAAAAAAATTTCAAAATTAAAAAAAACTTTTAATTATTGAAGCACTGAGAAAATTTGAAATTTAAGTGATAAAAAATTTAATATAATGTTACAATTGAAAAATGAATGTCAATACAAATGTAAAAAGTGTAGACTATGTCTTGGCAGTTATTATTAATGAAATTTTTAACAAAAAAATTGTTCAAAACAAAAGTTTTTAGTGATGTAAATTTTCCAGTAAAATTTGATTCAAAATTTACCAGTAAAATTTACTAATAAATTTTAAATAGGAGAGGGCAAATTTTCCTTAAAAATTTGAAAAAAAAAAAAATAAATAAGTGAAAAAATTTTCAAAATTTACCAGGCAGTAAATTTTCAAAATTTTCCAGAAAATTTACCAGAAAATTTTCTTGTAAATTTTACCTTCGCAACACTAATAGTTTTTACCCTTTATACATTTGTATGTATTTCTTAAATGATCTAATTATATATATATATAATTAGATCATTTAAGAAATACATACAAATGTATAATGTTAAATGATCTAATATATATATATATATACATATATATATATATATATATATATATATATATATATATATATATATATATATATATATATATATATATATATATATATATATATATATATATATATATATATATATATATATATATATATATATATATATATAATAAAAAATCCAATTTAATTGTGTTTATATCAAATATATAGTATATGGAAATTTTATAAATTTTATATAACATACAAATTATTTTGGTTTTTATTGTTTATTTGATACCTTAATATAAAATTGAACATGATATAAGGTTAAATGTGTCATTAAAAGGTTGAACAAGTTATAATTTTATATTATCATAAGGTTGAGCATGTTATCATAAGGTTAAATGTGTAACCATAAAACCAAATGTGTAAAATTACCTCATTTTTAAATTTATTTTACAGGATCAAAATAAAAATTTTAATAGTATAATAATATTTTTCTTTTTCTTTTTTTCCCTTATTTTAATTCACCAATAGCATTTAATAGCTATATAACATATAATAATATAATAATCATATTTTTGTATAAATAAAGTATCAACATAAAAAAAAACAACATAAAATCTTAATTTATCTTATTTCATCTTAAATAATCATAACTTATCTTAAATTATCTTAAATTACCTTGGACAAAAATATTTACTATATTTTAAAGTTTAAAATCATTTACTATATTTAAAAAAAAGAAATAAATAAAACTACTGTGAAATCTAACAATAACCTTGGACATATGGTCCATCTTTGGGATGTTCACGAACTTTCATTGGATGTAATGGCTGACCTACTTTTGTTGCCTGATGTGTGCGCAGCAAGTCTCTGACTTTCTCATTATATATTTCTAAATAACTAATAAAACAAAATAAAATCATTTTCTTCTTCTTAAACTTTCATTGATTGAAAAATTACAATTATGTAATTACAATAAGAAATGTAAGTAAACCAATTCTTTATTTAAATGAATTATGATTTTTTACAATATCTCTCTCAAGTTATATATAACAGAATAAGATGATGATTTAATTTTCGAATTGTTGAATTCCTTCAGATTCAATCCTAATTATTTTTTTAAATTTTAATAAAAAAAGTTAAATTTCTTTGGTTTACCTTTTTAGTGACTTACTGTTAATCATTTCAATGCTGTGCTCATAAGAGTATTAAAGAAGTAAAAAAAGGAAATTTAATATACTATAGCCAGCATACACATACATATATAATTTGCAGAAGCATACACATACATATATAATTTACCGCTTGAATCAAATAATGTTGTCAAGAAATATTTGCTATTGTGACTGAGACATAGCCATTCAACACCATAAGCATCCATTCAACACCATAAGTATCTATTCAACACCATAAGTATTCTTTCAACACCATAAGTATCCATTCAATACTTTATCCCATCACTACTCTTAGTATTCCTCTCTAGTTCTAGATCTCACTCAAGTTCTTTTTACTATATTTTTACTATATTTTTTATATAGTAAAATTTTACTATATTTTTTAGATAAAAAGTACCTAGTACTACCACTATTTATATCGTACTACTTATCTAGTACTACCAATATAATTTATCTTAAGCAAAAACCAAACATTTGTAAAACTCAAACAACCAAGGTATAAGTATAACTACTTCAGCTAAAATTATCCCAAAGAAATATTTTAGGAAAGCAAAAGCAGTTAATAAAATATGTTAATTAATGACCAGAATGACCACAGCAATAAGAGCAAAGTTAACGTTTTGTATTATCTTGTCTATATTTTATGTGTCAAAAAAATTGGTCTTGAAAAGACTTATAGAGTTCAAACTAATCCCCTAGCAACATCTGTAAACAACTGGTTTTTATGGAACCCAGGAAAATAGGGCTCACCTAAAGTCTTTATTTATGAGGCGTTTTTAAAAAGGTGACTTTTCAAATTTTGCAGGAAACAAATATTTAATTCATTTTTGTTGTTATTGTTTGGGATATGTGTACCACACATATCCCAAACATTTGTTTACAGTTTCAACAACATAGCATATTTAGTTTCTTAATGACAGATACAAATGTCACAGAGCACAACAAATTACATGTTTGTTGTGCTATGAAATTAGGTGCATCACAACACTTAAAACACTGTCAAAGTTTTGCTCACTGATTCTTTGATAACCATTTAATTGATCATTTCACTGATTCTTTGACCATTACCTAGTGCATTAGTTCCTTTTTTTTTAAATCCATTTATTCAATCAAAAATTGAAAAATTACAAATTTTATTATAATTTTTACAAAATCAGGTTAGGTGTCTCTCATATAGTTAAAAACTAGTCAATGGAGTAACACACCTAGATAAAATAAAAAAAAACTAGTCAATGGAGTAACACACCTAGATAAAATAAAAAATCAACAACAATGTTAATAAATAAAAGCAAGCGTAAATTAAAATGACTGAAAAAATCCAATGAAAATATAAAACACACATATTAAAGTTGATAATAGAACAAATATATATATATATATATATATATATATATATATATATATATATATATATATATATATATATATATATATATATATATATATATATATATATATATCACTTATATGATTTTTTTAATATTGAAAAACAAATAATTTTTTATAATTAAACAAAGTCACCTTATTTTTTAAGTACTACATGTTGTATTCATTCATATTAAACAACTTTATAAAATTTCAGAAATTTTTTATTTGAAGTCTAAGTCTAATCTTTAAAGACCCAAAAAAATCAAAAGTGTTTTTCACTGATATACCTTTCATTTATCTTAAACTAATATATATTAATTTCTTATGTCCAAACCTCATATGACCTTTTTATATCTTACTGCTGTCAATGACATGCAGCTATATATTTAAAAATTTTTTAAAACTTTATGGTTTGAAAGATATGTTTATGTGGTTTGAAAGATATGTTATTTTTCAAACAATAAAAAAAAATTGCAAACAAAAATTTACAGATTGCAATTGACACAGAAAATAATTTTAATGTGGTAATCAATGATGAGGAATAAATTGAAATATAATAATTACTAAATAATATACCTTACTTCTGTGCGAAATGAAACACCGTCATCTTCCTTCTCATGCATTTGATTAAAAAGGTTCTTAAAAAAGAAAAAAAAGATGACAAATACTTGTAAAATTGAAGATGTACTCAATAATAGCTATCAGTAAGATTTTACAAATCCTACTGATGGTTACTACATTTATTTATGGGAGCTTTTATTTATCAATAAAAAAATAGTTACTAGGGAATTAGTTTTTCATAAAAGAAATAAAAAGATGAAAGAAATAATGTTCAATTATAAATCTCTTATAAGCTCTAGGTATATGGAAAAGGTGCACATGTTAATTTTTTTGCTCTTAAAGCAATTTTTTAAAATGAATTATTTTATGTAAAAATATTGAAGTAAACAAATGGTAGGTATAGAAATGATTGGTGTGGATTCCGTATTTTAGGGGTCAGGAAAGCTAGGATATATATATAAGGAAAAAGTATAGAAAAGCTCAGTGTGGAATAGACTTACAAAGACTCGTATTTTTATGGGTCAGATCAGCTAGTAATAATAATAAGAATAACAATTAAAAATTATTACCTCACATATTCTGGGAATCAACCCTTCATTTTCCTAATGTAAAAATTTATAAACTTAAAAGCAATATAAACTTATTTTTAAATAATACATAATTCATATAAATCTAAAAGTTGATGAAACTCTCCATAAATCTTCATCACAAAATGATGAAAACACCACAAAAAATTAATCATCTTATTATAGGGTAAACAATAAATAACCTATAGTTTTTTTAATTATAAAAGTTTTTATACCATTTAAATTATTTGATGAAATGCTTCCAAATTTTTACAGACAATAAAACATAGTGTAAACTATTATTATTATTTTTTTTTTTACCAACTTTTGTGATAAAGTTAGACAAAATATCTCAACTTCCTAAAGCAATTTAACTTTTAGCTGTAAAAATGTATTTTTTGATTGTTACACTTTTTAAAATTCTTTGCTTCATTATTCACAGCTTCCGTGGGTATGTTTCTTCAGAGACAATGATCTATATGCATTTTTTGATAATTGAATGGATAAATGCCTAATACTTTTTCTGGCTTCATGACACAGTCATTAATCAAATTTTTACAAATAAAATCTCTTTTTTTTTTGTGATTTATTTGTTTCCAATCACATATATATTTTTTTGCCAACTATGCTTCATTGCTCGAAACATACAGTGTGGTGCAGATTTATAACCTCACTAAAAGTTCATTATCTTGTATATAAATATATGATCATTACTAAATTATTTAACTGCTTAGCATCTAATTTGATAAACATTTCATTTGTAATATAACCTGCTTTCATTTCAATAATTGATTTAAAAATTTTAGAAAAATGATGGTGCAAAATTATAACTTCATTTCGATTTTGTTCAACGAAATTTGATGATAGGTTATATCTTAATTTGAATTTATTAATAATACTTTGTTTTTTTGCCTGAATGACCTCAAATATTCAATTTAACTTTCAGAATGTTTTCTGAGATCAGAAATATCTTCCAATCAGATATAATTGCATTTTTCAATTCATCAACATTTGAATATTATTTTCTTTCTGCATAAAACATGTCTTGCTAAGATGCCCCATATGTTTTTGATGGGATTTAAATTAGGCGAGAGCACTGGGAATTCCAATAATTGCATTTTTTTGCTGGTAAACCATGGGACATTTGACTTTGCTCTATGAATTGGAGAAATTATAGATCAAATATAGTGAGCGCTTCAGCTTGCAAGCAATTGTCCTGTTTGATAAATGTAATGACCTGTAGGCTTCAACCATGCCTTTTTCTTCATCTGAGACTGGCATTCATTAAAATGTATTTAATTAAATAAATTAAATTTTTATAGCTTTTGGTGTAATTCAGATAAAGAGGGTATAACTATGCACCACTGTTTTATATGATTTAATAATTTGAACTAATTAAAGTATAAATAGATTTAATTGAAATTTATTTTAATTTCAAAAATGTTCTACAAATAGAATTTCATCAATAATATTTAAAAGCTGCTTTCAATGCTTCTATACAGATGATGTTATAAATCTACACTGCACTGTAGAAATGTCTGCCATTTGTAAAATGTGTGTCCAATTCGGTAGAAAATATCTTTTTTTAATATGCTTTTCCGACAATTTAAGTCAAAAGAAAAATTAGCACAAATTTTGCCACAAGAATAAGTGACATTTTGCATTCGACTGAATAAATTTTAAAATATAATTTGAGGTCTGAACATTATTCCATCATCAGAAAAATACAGTGATATTTTTTATTTTTTTTCAGAATCAACAGAGTTAATATTAGAAATGCATTTTTAGCAAAACCTTTTTAAAGTTCTGGATATAGTTCAAATCTAGTTTCATCAAGATTTATGAAACCACTTGGCCTGTTAAGCTGCTCTTAATATTTGCTTTTAGTGAAAAAAAAAATTTTCTTTATAAAGTTCTTAATTTGACCTGTTGAAACATTGGCTGTTGCTCAACTTAATAACTCTAGCTTTCTTAATGCTATCTTGTTGTTTCAGCCTAAAATATTTTCCATCCAGAATGTAGTAGGATAGTCATTCTTGAAACTAGGTGATGAATCAGCGCTTCTAAGTATAAAATTTTATTGTCATAAGCAGTGTTGATTAAGTGCTTATAAAGCAAGAAACAATTAAAGATTTTCATAAGGCCAAAAAATATATATTTTTAGTTTTAAATAATAGATGCAAGAGTAAGTCCAATTTATCTGCTTAGTAGTGACTGGAAAGTTAAGTAAACACTTTATTCTATTTAGAAATGCATTCATGTCAAATAAAATTACGGAAATTATAAATGGGAGAAAATTATTTTTTCTTTTTTAAATATTTTATCTGGAAATAGTCTATTCATTGAAAAAATGTTTTTCTAATAAAAATTAATAAATAAAGTCATTTACATCCAGATCACTTACCCTGAATTACTTTTGAAATAAAGATTATGCAAAATTTTTAACCCCCCAAAAAAAACTTAATAAAATTGAATTTTATTCAAGTTTAGTAAAAAATGAAAAGCATTTTTCTCTGGACATACAATAATTTAGGTCTCAAACTCAAAAAAAAAAAAAAGTCACTTGTATTACGACACTCAGCCTATCCCTATAAAATGATACGCTGAGTGCTGTAATACAAGATTTGTAGTGGAAAACCATTTGTGGTTGAGAGATTTATTGAATGACTAAATTTAAAATAAATAACTCTTTCAAAAGAAATTTCTAAAAAATAATATTTAAAAACGCAAATAAGATAACTTAGAATTACTCACAAATATTGAAAAAATTTATATACATCTACAAACAATAAATTTTCATACTGGTTCTCCCATCATAGTGTGTGTTTTTCCACTTCCTAAAAACAAACATACTGCTAAAATGTTGTAAATAATATATATATATATATATATATATATATATATATATATATATATATATATATATATATATATATATATATATATATATATATATATATATATATATATATATATAGTGTATATATATATATATATATATATATATATATATATATATATATATATATATATATATATATATATATATATATATGTATATATATATATATATATATATATATATATATATATATATATATATATATATATATATATATATATATATATATATATATATATATATATAGATATATATATATACATATAAATATGTATGTATGTATGCCTAGATATATTAAACTTATTAGTAAAAATACAGGCATAAATTAAAAATACAATAATAACAATCAAAAGAAATGATATTAAAAAACCGTAAAGAAGATATTAAAAAGATGAATTGACTTTTTCAATTTTCAAAAAAAAAAATTATCAGGGGTAGCTCAAGACCCTTAAACATCAGACGGGTCCCTATAATTATCAAAAAAATAGTTCTTCAAAAGTATATTGTGTTGGGTCTCAAAAGAAGCAAAATTATGTAAAAACTTCAAAAATAATCATCATTTTATAAAAATATTATTATTTTAGATTTCACTGCCTAGAAAATGACATTTTCAAACTAAAAACTAAAAATATGTATGTTTTCAATAAAATTTTATTATAATTTTTTTTCTTAATGTTTTTTATAAAATGATGATTTTTTATAAACAAATATAGCAATTATGGATATACGATATGATTATTAAAGCTAAATAACAGAATCCTAAATAAGCATCAAAACACATTTATACAACCTTTACAAATTTAAAACCATGCTGTGGTATAATAAAATGATTTTTTTTAAGTATTACTATAAACTATTTTGCTTAAGTATTTTTTAATAGTTAAAAAAAAGAGTTGCGGAGTTTAGTATTATTTTTTGTAACTTTTTTTTTCTTTTTCTTTTTCTCTTTCTTGCGGAACTGCCCATATACAGTCAGTCACAAAAGTTTTTGTACACCTTACAAATTAGAGAAAAGACTTTATAAAAACCACTTCAAATGCAAAAAAATAATTTTATATCAAAGTAACAAGAATATATAGTACAAGAAATAAAATATAACTAACTAAATTTAAAAACTTATTCATTTAACTGAAAAAGTTTAATTTTTGAATTTATAATGTGAAAAAAGTTTACATACAATAGTAAAGCTAATAATAGTATGTGATTCATGTGGTTAAAACTTGTTCAAACTTCGTTCGTTCATAGATTTTTATTAAGGTACTAATATTTTTTCACCAAGAATTTAGTTATAAACATGAGATTTAATAAGAAACATCACATGTCTAATGACATAAGTGAATTAATAATAAAATTGCATAAAGAAAAAAATCTTTTTGTCGAATTGCCAAAATTGTTGTTTCGAACACATCCCACTGTTCAAAGTGTTGTTAAAAAATTTAAAATGATTTCTGTTAACACATTATCAAGAAGTAGCTAATACAAAAATTTTAAATTTATGAGATAAAAGGAGTATAATTTAATAGTCAATTCAAATTCAAGTATAAGTGCACCTAAATTATCAATAGATGTTGAACTTGTAATTGGAAAAATAGTTTATCTAGAAAATATTAGACAATACTTAGAAAATCCAGATTAAATAGCAGAGTACCTTGAAGTAAACTCTTTCTAAGTGTAGAAAATAGATGAAAAAGATTGGACTTTGCCAAAAAGTATGAAAACAAAGATAAACAACTGCATTCTCCTCCCCAATTTTTAATCCAATAGAGCATGTGTTGTATTACTTAGACAGAGAAGTCAGGAGACATAGAATAACAAATGTTAATATGTTATATGTTAATATGAACAAATGTTAATAAATATTTGTATTACGTTAATTAAATTATATTTGTTGTATGATATATTCTTGTTACTTTGAAATATAATTATTTTTTTTTACTGTTTTTAATTAAGTGTATTCTTAAATTGTAAGGTGTACAAAAACTTTTGTGACTGGCTGTGTATGTAGACATCAACAGGAGTGTACACTCCTGTTGAAGCCTACATACACAGTCAGTCATAAAAGTTTTAAGGAGAATAATGAAAGACAAACCCTCAGTCAATGGAGCCGCACTCCCTTGCTGCAGCAGGCTCTAAGATTGTCAATCTATGTATTAAAGCCCCTGATAACAGGCTATTTCAGTTTGATGTCAGAGCTGTTATCTAAACACACATTCATAGTTTTAACTTCAACTTTTAGAGGTTGGCATCAGGTCTGCATAAAAAACTTGATACAAAACGTTTACCATAAAACATAGAAATGAGGTTGGCGACAAACAAGTTTAGGCTGACATTGTTGAATGCCAACCCTAATTCCGAGGGCTGTGTGTGTGTGGCCTTGTTTTAAAGCGTTAAGAGTGGAGTGATTTACGTACACCTTAAGCGATTTTTATGTGAGCAGTAAGCGATTTCGGTTAAGCAACTTTTTTTATTATTTGTTAACCTATAAATTAGACTCTAAGCGGAAAGATAAAAGAAGTAATTAATTTTAAAAAAAGTCACATTAACTTTTAAATGACATTTGTGTAAAAATATTTCTTACAAAAGTTTGAAAAACAATTATATTTGGTACAACCGCTATTTAAATAATAAATTTTTCCATTAGTAAATATTTACTAATAAAAAAAACTCAAATAAAATTAAAAGTTTAATTTTATTTTGTTTTTATTTTATTGTAATGATTGTTTTTTGAAGCTTGAAGCAAAGATCATAAAAACATAATTTAATTCTGATAAAAAATATAAGATTTAATTTAAAAAAAACTAATTTAACAAAAATATTTAATTTTATTCTGATAAAAAATATATATAATTTAATTTAGATTAAAGAAATAATTTAATTTTGATTTAAAAAACATATTTAAGTTTATTAAAGTTAAAGTTAATGCTTGGTTTTAACTTAGCTGTCAAATCTATTTAAAAATATTACTAAATATTGTTCAATTTTTAAGATTTATTTGTTCTTAAAAAAAAATTAGCTTATTTTTATCACAACTGTTTTTGGGTTTTCCTTCCTAAACATTCTTTTTTTTAAATTAAATTAAATTTAAAAAAGAAAAGGCAACGTCAAAAGTTTGCACAATACATAAGTTAAACTTTTTTTTTATAATGCTAATTAAATCGCAGCGATTATATTTTAATAAACGATATATTCAGCGATGTAAATTTAATAATAAAATAATAAAACTAAAAAACTTTAAATAAAGTAAATAAATTAATGAAATTTTTTTATTTGTTACTTGCTAGTTTTTTTTATTAAAAAATTATTTGTAGTTGCAAAGCCACAGTTAGAAATATAAAAAATAGTTGTTTTGAAAACTCAAAAGTTTAACATATTTTAATTCATTTATGCAAATCGTCCTCTCCGTATTATCTTGTTCTATCTATAAATGTAATAAATAAAATATTCTATCTAATATATAAATAAATACAAAATATATATATATATATATATATATATATAAATACAATATTCTACCTGATATAATATATTGTATTAAATTACATAAAACATTGTATTTATTTATATATAACTTTTTTTCGTATTTATTTTATATATTAGATTAAAAATAACAGCAAACATACCTGTCTGGCCATAAGCGAAAATGCAAGCATTATAACCTTCATCAGCAGCAGTAACAACTCCTGTCCCAAGATCACTATATACCTTTACAAAATATATTTCAAGATTAAAAACTGCTAAAAATATTTTTTACAAAAACTATAACAAAAGTATTATTAACTAAATTTATTATAAACAAAGTTTACAAAATAAAGTTTTGACATAATTTATGATTCATATATTCATAACTATAATCCTATATAAATTATCAACAACTTCTTTGTTTTTAAAATGATAATGAAACCTTAAAAATATATTTTTATTATTAAAAATTTAAGTACATTGAAATCAAGACTATCTTATTTAATAATGTTATTTCTTTAGTTTCTACCTTTAATATACAAAAAATAGTAGAAAACTTTGCTAACCTTAAATTCTCAAGTCGACAATTTAAAAACACATTTTATCAACTTTAACAAAATTATTTAGACATACCAGGTGTACATACAATAACTGACTCATGAATGGATTGTATATGTGATTTCCATAAGTGATCAGTAGTGAATGAAAATTTGAGATGTAAAGTAGAGAACTATTAAGTCTTCTCCTTTACATAGTAGAAAGAATTAAGGATAAAGAAGCCTAAAAAGGCATTGAATTTTATTCTACATTACAAAAAACCTTCAAAAAAAAAAACCTTTTGTGGTCAATAATGTTTATAAAAACAAAAATTTTTCATTACCACAACCTCTAAACAACAATCAATTAAATAAAAAAATCTTAATTTAAAATGTCTATTTTTAAATGTTAAAAACAAGTTTTTTACCCACTTCATAATGTTAAGTAAAATAATTATTTTCACAAAAACGTAGAGAATCAAACACACTGAATGTATGCATAAATTGAGCTTTGACTAAATGTTTACCAGTAAACCAGTTTGAATGTATATATATATATATATATATATATATATATATATATATATATATATATATATATATATATATATATATATATATATATATATATATATATATATATATATATATATATATACATATATATACATATATATATATATGTATATACTAAGTTTAAGGGTATATATATATACTAAGTTTAAGGGTTCTATGGCTGGTTGGTTGTAAGTTTTCCTTAACTTTGTGGCAGTTCTTAGAGAGGCTGATTCCATCAACAGCTGTAAAATAGAAGAGTATTACCAGTGACATGTTGCACATGAAAGCTGATAATGCTTTGGTGGGTGTTGTTGAGGCCACAAAAGGAGCTCTTTGTTAAAAATTTAGATTGATTAGCAGGATTGAAAATTATTAATGAGGTTTATAGCTGAATGTACAGTGTATTACACACTATTTATTATTGATTTAAATTCTCTGCTAAATTAAAACAGGAATATCATATTACCTATAAATGTTAAACAAAATAAAAACCATCATTACCAATAAATTGTTTTAATCTTTTACGAAGATTAGTAGACTTAAAAGTAACTTTTTATTTGCCAATTTTGCATTTAACACAATTTGCCTGACTTAATCTTTGTGAGATTTATATTTAGCTTACCAACCTACAGATCTCAATGATGATGGCTATTATTCTTTGATTGGCAAAGACTTTGAATGCTACATTCTCTGGACATATACTTATTTTTTTATTGCAAAAGCAGATTTAAATACTCAGAACTATTTTTTATGTTTTGTTTAGCACCTCTTTGCCTAATCTTTTTTTCCTTTTTTTTTTTCTTCTTTTATAGTTCTCCTTCTTCAAAATAAAGGAGAACAATAAAGCACTTGTAGATGACTGCACTCTTTTTGATGTCTTAAGTCTTTTGTTTCTCTTCTGAAAAATGTACCTTTTTGGACTAGGAAAGATATGTAAGCATTTATTATTTTTCGGTTTCAAGTCAAACTCTATCCAAGAGTTTTCTCTTTCTTGAGCAGATGCTATTTCTAATCGTAACCATTTATTTTTCACAAAAACACTTCTCTTGAAACTAAACCTTTTTTTTTTAATATAAAAATTAATATAAATTATACAAACTTTACTTAAGCCTAGTTTCCAATAGTTGTAGAAAAGTTATACAACAAGAATTTTAAATACAACAATTGTTTCAGAAATTAAATTGTTTTTATTTTTGCAACAGTTGTATTTTTCAACTGAAATTTTCTTGTACAACATACATATTTGTGAATTATCTAAGTGATTGTTTCCATAATAAACTTAAATATTGTGTATCTGTTGTACAACATTTTTACAACTATTAATAATAGATCTTAAAAAAATAACTTTAAAAAAGTTACATAAAATACAAGTTTTTACTAGACATGGTTATTTTTTATTTGACTTGACAGTTTTAGATTTGTCTTTTTTAAAAACATTCTTGCATTATGTTAGTTTTAATTTTAATCTTTTAATAAAAAACAGATCAAATCAGACTAAAAACACAAAAACATTGCAATCAAAGCAAAATAATAATTTCTAATCTGAACAGGCTTAATGCTATTATCTACAACAGAGAACAGTTTGAATAACTATTGAACTTGTATGAGCAAATGAGTGAAAAAAAAAGTGAAAAATCAAATCTATCAAACAAGAAAAAAAAATCTCTAACTTAAAAATATTATAAGAAAACTTTAATAATTTTTGAACAAATTTTAAAAAATTTTCAATAAATTGGAAAAATAGAACTTTTAAGATAAAGAACTTCCTAGTACTAAGCTAATGCTTGATTTTGTATTTGAAAAAGATTTGATTACTTGATATGTTGTGACAATATTAAAAATGTATATAAATATATAACTAAAAATATATAAACATATAATATACATATACTAAACATAGACATAGCAAATATTAAAAATAGCCTATATACATGGAAACAAATATAATATGCATTAAGTCACATAAAGTATTTAAATATACTTCTTACAACATCTTGTCCAGAATAATTTGAAGAATTTTTATCACAAGACCAGTAGCAATAATCAAAAAAAAATTCTTTGACATTATCTTTCCCAACTTCCTCATTTTCACTTGTGTTAAGATCCTAACAAAAATTTAAACACTTTTATTGTATTACAGATAATACGAAAAAATATTTTTCAGATAAAATTTTAGAAATTAAAAAGACTTTGAATTGCACTGATTGCACAACATCTTTAATATACTTTATGGGTTTAGTTTGGCTAAAAAAGTTAGTAAATGTATATCCATATATATCAACCCTCGGAATTAGGAAAGAGGAGGTCGGCAATATTTTGTCCATCTCAATCTTTTAGAGGTCGGCATCAGATTAGCAAAAATTATTTAATACAAAGGTCTGACCATAAAATATAGTAACAAGGTCGAAAAATTGCCAACCTCAAACACTTTCACATTGGCAATTAGGTCGGCTTTGCCGAATGTTGACCCTAATTCGGAGGGTTGATATAATATATATATATATATATATATATATATATATATATATATATATATATATATATATATTATATATATATATATATATTCCATACTATATTTATTACCCATATATATATAAATACTATATTTATATATATATATATATAAAGATATATATATAAAGATATATATATATATATAATATATATATATATATATATATATATATATATATATATATATATATATATATATATATATATATATATATATATATATATATAGTATTTAAAAAAATCTTTTTTATAATACTATATTTGTTAAATAAAAAAAGCATTTTTGTGCCTATTAAAATTTATAATATGTAGTTTTAAAAATTATCAAAATAAATTTTATGTATAAAGAAAATTTTGTAATTTTCTACTTTTATGTAAGCAATAGTTTGAAATTATTACAGATTCATTCATTTTAATAAAGTGCACAACTTTTGGTAAATTTTAATTAGCAATTTCATTGCTAATATTTTTCTACTGAAATTGTCATGTAAGAACTGTAACTCATTCTCAAAATTAAAAACTGCTCTCTTTAACTATTTTTCAGAAAACTATTGCTTATAAATCTTATACTTTACTCCAACTTATCATTTATAACAGAGCTTCTTAAACTTTTTTCACTCACGACCCTATTTATGATTGTGAGTTTCCTGGCGACCCCATATAAATATTAAAAAAAGATAAGTATTGAAAATTATGTTAAAAGTTGGTAAATTTGTTTATGTTTAAAAAAAAAAAAAAAAAGACATTTTCAGCAACATAATACACAATTAAAATGAAAAAATTCAACTCAATAAGTAATTGCTCCCTACAATAATCTAAAAACTCACATCACTATGAGTTTATTAATGAAGTTTTAAATTAATGACAAATGCTCAAAAATCTGTATTTTTCACCATTTTACTAATTTCTCATTGCAATATTTGTTCTCAAAATTTTGCGAAACAATTACTGAACCCTAATGTCGTTGACCCTCTGTAGTTATGTTGACCAATTTACCAAATACTATGTTGACCAATTTACCAAATACTATGTTGACCTATGCCTTCATTCTCTGCTAATAAGGGGGATTTTACAATTAACGTGCATTTAAATTGGTTTATGTACAAGCTTATTATAACGAGCTTATTATAACAAGCTTATTATAACTAATTACAAATTATTATAATGAGCATTTAAATTGGTTAAAAACTTTTTTTAAATTCTGAAATTTGGGACACCTTAAAAAAATTTGTTTAACTTGACACAATAACATCCTAACAATTTACACCATATGAAGTAATAATTTTTAAACAATTTTTAAAAATTGACTCAAAATGTTGCAAAAAAATTAAAACAAAATTTAATAAAAAAACTAAAATAAAAAAAAAAAAGACAAAAAAAGCAAGTAAAAAGTGTTTTAACGAGACTCATATTGTGTCAAAAAAAAACTTTTTATTACTGGAGGGCTGGAAATTACTTACAACAGCAAAATGAAAAATATATTTATTTTACCTTAGAACTTATAATACATGTTCGATTACTTTCCATGTGAATAATGCATTTGGCATCCATTGATTTCTCTCTAAAAATAGTTTTAAATTATATATATATATATATATATATATATATATATATATATATATATATATATATATTATATATATATATATATATATATGTATATATACATATATATATATATATATATATATATATATATATATACATATATATATATATATATATATATATATATATATATATATATATATATATATATATATATATATATACATATATATATATATATATATATATATATATATATATATATATAAACTTTATATATATATAAAGTTATATATAAATATATATATATATATATATATATATATATATATATATATATATATATATATATATATATAAACTTTATATATATATAAAGTTATATATAAATATATATATATATATATATATATATATATATATATATATTTAGACTTTATATAATATATGTATATATATATATATATATATATATATATATATATATATATATATATATATATATATATATATATATATATATATATATACACACAGTGGTGTACACTGGACTTTTGAGATGTTTGAGTTTTGACACTTACAGTTTTGTGCAAACTCTAAACTTTTGTATGTTCATGCTTATGTCAAATGAGAATGTTTTGCTAAGAGTTGCGGTGATAAGAGCTTGGGGACAAAAAAAAAACCATATATATATTTATATATATATATATATATATACTATATATATATATATATATATATATATATATATATATATATATATATATATATATATATATATATAACTTTATATATATATATAAAGTTTAAATATATATATATATATATATATATATATATATATATATATATATATATATATATATATATATATATATATATATATTATTTGTGAAAGAAAAAAAAAAACCATTTATTTAAAAAAAGCATTTCTATGTGTGTACTCTGAAATGCAGTCTAATTTGAGTGGGCTATTTAGTGATGATCTTCTTGTCTATAGAAGTTATGATGCATCATATAAACTTACTTTATATCATTTTTTTTTTTTTTAAAGTTCCATCAATTTTACAGACTACAGATGTTTCATATTTAGAAAAAACAACAAAATAATTATGTTAGTAGTTTAGTTATATGTTACTATACCATTATAAAAAATATGGAAAATGTATATAAACAAATCAGAGGTGTCACAAAATTACTTTTATTTCTAGGTTTTAGACAAATCTATTTTAAAAAGTTCATTAAAAAAATATAAAGTATTTAAACCTTAATTAAACTTCTAAAAATTTGAAAAACTATGTCTGAAATTCAAAACAATGAAAATTAAATTTAAACCTTTGATTAAATGGTCGTACACGTACTGCTACTTTTATAGAGGCCATTCTTGTAATGTTAAATTTTTTTTTTTATTTCAATTTCATTCTTTGATTGCTAGAAAAAGTAAATTTTTGAGAAATATGAAAATAATACAAGATCTACACAATAAATCTAAGCATATAATAAATCTGTAATAATCTTAAATCATAATTATACGGCATGAAAATGCTTATAATGAGTTAAAGAACGTTTAATTAAAATTTTTAACTAATGGCTAATGATAATTTAAAAAAATGTAATGTGTTAATATTTTTAAAAAGTGTTAATGTGATTAAGCTCTGACAAACCACCTTATAAACAAAGCACATCTTTATGAAATGCTTTGTTTATAAAAAGACGTTATGCTAACGAAAATAATGACGTAAGGTGCGAGTCTAGGTCAGGCGACAGAAAGAGAAAGTTTAACGTCGGAAATAAATATTTTTTAAGTATTCAATTTAAAAGAAAAAAAATAATATTTTTTTAAGGTTAATTAAAAATATATATTATTATTTTTATAGTCAATTAGTAAAACTAATTACTAAATGTTAGTCTATTATATAACATATAAATAAAAGCAGAAAAATGCTTGGAGAGATCTAATAATAACCATTTCACTTTTAGCATTCCATATATATTATATACAATAGAGCGGTTTTTATAAAGAATTTGTTCCAGATCGATCACGGCAACAAATATTGTTCGTTCACAGCAGAGTGCAGAAAAAATGCTACTGTGCAGTTTAAAAAAATTGTGCGCTGTGGTTTTATAAAACAATTTAATATAAACACAAATGTCTAGTATGCGGCCAATATTTCTTTATTATCTTATTATATTGTTTACACTTTTATTTGGTGAGGTAAAGGAAAATAATAAGTAGCAGTATAATTTACATTTAAGGCCGCAGAGAACTTTCGTGAGGCCCAGGGCATAGCGCCGTGCGTAGTTTTTAAAAGAAATTAAATTAAGGGCATGCGCAGTAGGGTAATAACTTTTTTAAATCTTTAAAATGACCATGGTGTCACATAATGAGTTTTAAACTAAAAATAAAAGATATTTTAATTATAATTTAAAAAATTAAAAAACTTTGCCCATAAACTAAAAAAAAGTTTTTAATGATTTTAGGCCTTTTCAATATAAGGTCATTTATTTCTAATAAATTCTAGATGCTTAATTTTAGATATTTTCTACATGCTTAATTAAAGTTTTTCTTTAATTTTTCTTTAAATCTATGAGCTTTTTTTATAACTGCTTTGTAAATACCTGACTGTGTTGGAGTTGGAATATTAATATCTTCTTCTGATAATCGACTGTCTTTTTTGCTCTGGTATGTACTTAGCTTTACATTCTTTACTAAAGAAACAGCTGAAGCAGTTAAAGCTTTTCTTTTTCTTTTAGGTCTACTGAAATTGTTAGTAGATGAACCAAAATCATCGTCAGTCTTTCTTTCACTGTTACTAGAGTCAGAGTTAGTGACTTGATCCTAAAATCCGAAAAATTTATAACATATTGCAAAAATAACAAATAAATAACATATTGCATAGAAAATTTGAATAATTAATTACTGAATAAATAAAAAATAAATAAAAAATATCGTTATGGTTGAACACTAACAATTTTACGGCGCGAAAACCAATACCAAATTACATACCGTCACATCATTACACAATCGCCTTATTTTTTTTTTCATGTTGTAAGATATTAGAGCCGACGACTTGCCCCTCCCCCCTCTCCTCCCCCCCCCCCACACACACACACTTTTATTCTAAAGGACTTTTTTTTAAAACCACTTTTATTCTAAAGCCTTTAAAATAAAAGTGGTTTAAAAAAAAAAGTCCTTTCGAATAAAATATAGTGATTTTTTTTTTAATATCCAGGGCCGACGACACAGGTTTCAAAACAATTGCCAATTTTTAAAAAAAGTCCTTTAGTAAAGGACTATCACAATAAAACAAACAATAAAAACTATATTCTAATTAATTTAAGATATTATCTTAAATTAAGCAGAATTTTTTTTTTTTTTTTAATTTGATGTTTAAAAACATGGCGATTTTTTTTTCATTTTTTTTTTTAATTTTTCATAACGTTAAAAAATGATTAAGGCGATTGTGAAATGATCGTGACGATATACAGTTTAGTTTTTAATTTTATCACATTATTAGTTTGTTTTTTTTTTCGTATTAAATGAACTTTTTTTATAAACATAATTTGTGTTCATAAATAAAACTCAAGTCGTACGAACTTAACAAATTTTTGAATGAGAAAGAAAAAGAATTCTATTGCTGAAAAAAAATTCCATTTAAACAAAAACAATCCTCCTTTCTTAAAATAAAAAAAGTAATGTTTTATGGTTGCTTTTGCACATTTAAATCTATGATGAAAGCTTTTGTAAAATCTTATTAATCGTTTTTGCGTAAAGCATTAGTTTGCAAATATATAAAAAGGAAAAAATTCTAAAATAGTGGAAAACCATTTTATATTCTTTCGATTCAAATTTTGATTTTTAAAACCATATCTCTCGCGAACCTAGAATTTTGCTATGCAACCCCATTTGGAGTTGCGACCGCTAGATTAAGAAGGCCTGACCCTAACTATGAGCTTTTATTTATCTAACTTTTTTTTTTTCTCTTTTTTGTTATGTTTTAATATTTTTTTGTTAAATTTTTTATTTTTATCTTTTTTAAACTAAAGTATTTTCTCTTCATCACTGATGAAGAGAAAATAATAGTTCACTATTATTGTTATTTTTATTATTACTATACTTAGTATATCATTACAAATATTATTATACTTACTTTTGTAAATATTGCTATAACTTTTTTTATATATTACTGTTTTTGTTATATTATTGTTATTATTGTTATTATGATTGTTGTTGTTATTTTTATTGTTATCATTGTATTTATTATTAATATAGTCTAGTGTATATTTTTTATAATCTTTACTATTACTTTTAATTGCTGTTATTACAGCTATTACTTTTTTTTACTCCTACTTATATTATAATTATTAATATCATCATTTTATTATTATTGATTTTTACAGGTGTTTACTTCATATTAAGGGTCGTCCATAAATTACGTCACGCAATTTTTGACCGTTGCTGAACTTATTACTAATTAATTATTTATAAATAATCTTGATGTAACAACTTTATTCAGAATATATTTGATTCGATTTAACTTGATCACACAAAAATTTGAAAGTTAGTGAAAAATAATGAAGCAAGAGCAACGATATATATTAGGTACGCGTAAATCCGGATTTTACGGAACCGTTTTTCCGCCAAATTATGTGACACTTTTTCAAGTTTGTTGAAAAGTTGCATGGTATGAACTTGTTTTGCTCTGTTATTTTTTAGAAATGTGTATCAAAATAGATTTTTTTTTGAATACTAGAATAATGGAACTTTAATTTTGCATAAATTTTTTTGATGTAAAATTTTATTTATTATGAATCTGATTGTTGTTAATATTTTCTTTTTTTTGGACATCAAGTATATATCAAAGAAATGCTAGATCACTATTCAAATATAGCCTCTCACCTTTAAAAACCTTTTTTTTTAAACCTACCAAATTTCATTGAAAAAAAGCATACCCAGACACCTAAAAACTATACCCCAATTAGGTAACTATTATAGGCTTTAATAATGCTATACACAGAGGCTGGGAAGAGGGGGCAGTACTAAGTATAAATTAGTACTAGCAATAATGATGTTAAATATAGATTATATAATTAAATAAAATAGTTGTAATATAGTTAGCACTTGTAATTTCAGTATATATACCATTATTTTAATATATTATTACTTTTTATTTATCAAAAAGTAAACTACTTAATCTTTTTTTTTTTCTAGTTATCATGAAAGTTTCTAGAAAGTTTCTAGTTATCATAGGTCCAAAAATAAAGTCTGTGTTTTATGGTGATTGCAAAAATGTAACTGATAGTTTTGCATTGAGTCAAATAAGCATTGACTCTAATGCAGAGTGCAGTACAGTTTGTAGAAATGGACATATTCTTTTATCATTTACAAATAATAGTGGCTTGTTAATCAAAACATCTCAACAAGTCATTAAACGTTATAAGATAAATACCGGTAAAAACAGTTTTGAATTCTCATAAATAAATCATTGAATTGGCCTAGATATTGAGGATAGTAATCATTTTGTTGACTTTTGCAATGAACCTTTTTTAGGCCATATGTCGAATTTGCCAAATATTGCGTTATCATCAGGCTCTTCAGATGTTTCATTTGCCAATATCAATGTTTCATATCATTTAAATCATGAACCATCTACATCTGCAGGTTATAGCGAACGAAATGTTACTAAACATATCTATAGAGAAAAATTGAGCCATATAAAACAAAAACTAAAAGATAGGTTATCTTACTTGTCTTCTCGGTTAGCTAACTCTTATAAAAAAAAAAATGCTTATTGGACTGCATCATTCAAACTGTTAAACACCCCACTTCTGGTCAGTGATATGTGGAAGGGTAATGGTAAGGCTCTATATTGTAGAGGGAACAATGAATCAGTTACAATATGAAAAGGTCCTGGAACAAACATTGTTGCCACAATTGGCAGAATGGTTTAATCAAGGTGAAAAAAAAATCTTCATGCAGAACAGGGCACCATGACACACGGCTAAATCAGTTAAAAAAATTTTATCAGAACAAAATATTCCATTACTTGATTGACCAGGAAACTCTCCTGATCGTAATCCTATAGAAATTTTTTGGGCCTAAAGAAGCAAATACCTAAAAAAAAACATTACAAATAAAGTCTATTTAATAAAAAGAATCATTCACTATTGGAACCAATAATAAAGAATTGAACAAAATGGCTGAAAAATGCATCAAACGTATGCCAAAAAGGGTTCTTGAAATTATAAAGGCAAATAGAGGAATCACCAAATATTGATCTTGAATATATTTGTAGTAATATTTGAATAATAAAACTTATTAACAGTTTGTTAAATGTTTTTATTTGTCAAAAAAACACCCCTTTCTTAAATAAAATTATTTTTGAGTATATAAATCACAAAAAAATATAAAATTATAGACTTTAAAACTTGAAAAT